ATTATAAGTGACATTTCAGCCCATAGGAACAGGCCATCTTAAGGTAATATGTGATTAACAACAATTAGAAATTCAAAGTAACCTTATATTTGAATCCATAATTGGAACATTATTAAGTTAATTTATGATTAAAGACATTATAAATCCAATGTAACCTTATCTTTGAATCCATAATTTAAACATTATATGAAAGTGGCTTGCTCCTATGGGCTTAAATCTTAGTTTTAATTGCTTAAAAAAAATTTTCACAATAAAGTTGTTCATGTGTATACAGTTCTAGATGCTTCTCCCATTCCTGAAAAACAGTATCTCCTGGTAAATGTTAATAGTTTACTGTATTGTGAAAAATCAAACTATTACATTCTTTAGTTCTTAGACTTAATTTATTGTTTATTTTAAGAGTAATAAAATTGTTACTAATCCTGCAAAAATAAATTAACGATACACCGTAAAAGAAGTTCTTCATGTTTTCAGATTTACATCACAGTGACCACTTAATGAAAGTAATGAAATTTTAAAATATACAAGATGTTCATTGTATACAGAAGGTTGTTTCTCTAGAGTACAGAATGTTTTCACAGATGTGAACTTGTTTCTATAAAATAGATTCTGAAAAGTTAAATCAGCAATTATCCATGGTTCTTGAAGGTTTGTATGAAAGAAACAGTCAATATCTACTTCAACCATTGTAATCATAGCTTATATTGTAACATATGTATGTATTACATTGTTATAACAGTTTGTAGTATGTTCGTATGAAAGAAACAGTCAATATCTACTTCAACCATTGTAATCATAGCTTATATTGTAACATATGTACGTATTACATTGTTATAACAGTTTGTAGTATGTTTGTGTAGTACATACTTATTGATAATAACACTTTATAGAATCTTTATGTAGGTTGTTTTATGCGTTATGATCATTGTTATCATACTTTGTAACATGTTTATGTATTATACACTCCTTGTTATTGTAATTTGTTGTATGTTTATGTATTATATACTTCTTGTTATTGTAATTTGTAGTATGTTTATGTATTATATACTTCTTGTTATTGTAATTTGTAGTATGTTTATGTATTATATATTTCTTGTTATTGTAGTTTGTAGTATGTTTATATATTAAACACTTCTTGTTATTGTAGTTTGTAAAATGTTTATGTATTATACACTTGTTGTTATCATAATTTGTTGTATGTTTATGTATTATACACTTCTTATTATCATAGTTTGTAAAATGTTTATGTATTACATACTCTTTATTAATACCATGTTCAATGAATTTTTTAGTACTTGAAGAAAAGTCTTGTAAAAGAACTGGACTTCATCCATGAAGGACATAACATGAAAAGGTGTTCAGCTGAACTACATCATCTACCATTTGTATATGTTCCCAAGGTTTTGTGGGATAAATGTAGCAAGGTAAGCTGAATTTAAACATTTTGAGTTTTTTTATATATATTTAGCTCATGATTTAAAAATATTTTGTACCACATTCACTGGCATGATCACTAATGTTTAAATTATGGATTTTTGTGAACACTTAAGTAATGTATATTTTGTTTATAATGTGCAAGGTATGTAACGAAAAAGTAAGCAACGTGTACATGAATGGAAGTTCCAAATATTTCTACTTTTACTTATCCTTGCTTGTAGGTCCAGTTTCCTTGGTATATTTTCAGTGGTCAGTCATTTAAAAACAAAAGTAGTATTAAAATTAAATAAAGAATTAAAAAAAAGTTAAAATAGTGACTTGTTAATACAATTGAAGTTTTTAATTAATTATCGCAAACTTTATAATGAGCTATGTGACTTATAATACTTGTACCACTTTATAATATGTAACTTTACATAATGAGCTGCGTTCCTAAATATATGACTTGTAATATACCACTTTATAATATGTTACTTTACATAATGAGCTGTGTTCCTAAGTATGTGACTTATAATACTTGTACCACTTTATAATATGTAACTTTACATAATGAGCTGTGTTCCTAAATATATGACTTATAATACTTGTACCACCTTATAATATGTAACTTTACATAATGAGCTGTGTTTCTAAATATGTGACTTATAATACTTGTACCATATTATAATATGTAACTTTACATAATGAGCTGTGTTCCTAAATATGCTACTTATAATACTTGTACCACTTTATAATATGTAACATTACACCTAAGTATGTGACTTATAATACTTGTACTACTTTATAATATGTTACTTTACATAATAAGCTGTGTTCCTAAGTATGTGACTTATAATACTTGTACCACTTTATAATATGTAACTGTGTTCCTAAGTATGTGACTTATAATACTTGTAC